TTTATTCATTCAGTTATTTTATTTTTTAAAGCATTAATGGCACAAAGAGGTGTGGTATTATCTGTTGAAGATATTTCGTGGTTTTATCAACAGTACTAGGGAGAAATGTTCACCTGTCGAAATATCCATTTTGTAAGACTAATAATGTGACTGAATGTGTGGAAGAAAATGAAATGAAAAAAAATTAAAAATAAAAGAATTATTTTATTTAACTTTACTTATTTTTTAATTTTAATTTGACCAGAGAGGGATAGAGAGAGAGGGAGAAAATGAGAAAGCAGGCCACTAGGTCCAGGACTAACACCGTGGTCAGCCATGTGGGAGTCCAGTGCCCTTAACCACCATGCCACTTGCCAGCCCCCATTCAGTTATTTTAATTTGACCAGAGAGAGAGACACACAGAGAGAGAGGGAAAGTGAGAAAGCAAGACACCAGGTCCAGGACTTGAACTATGGTCAGCCATGTGAGAGTGTCCAGCAACTTAACCACCATGCAACCTGTTGGCCCCTAAAAGCCTTTATTATACTGTTCTGATCCCTCTTTATCTTAACCCCTGATGAGCAGGGCATAAAGTACACCAGAATTCTCTACCAAACACAAATTCTACAATGTATTAAAACAATAATAATGATAAAATGAAATAATTCTTTAAAAAAATATGATTAGTGCCACACAGTGGTACAGTGATAATGCAACTGGATCTGCAGGGGAGACGCCCTGCATTCATCCCAGCATTTCCCTGGTCACAGTGGGGCATGTGCAGATGTGTGCCTGTGATCTAGGCTGACTGATACTGGGGTGGATCCTAGCAGAAATCTCTTAAAACACTTTTATTTTCTCCATGATTGAGACAGTGAAAGAGAGAGTCATGTACATAGCACCCTTGACAGGGTTCTGAGGCCATAATCTGTTCCTAGCCCTCAGCCAGCCCTACATCGTGGGCAAGTGCGTGCTGGCATACTTGGTGGGGTCTGCGGGCTTGAACCAAGAACCTTTCCATGTGATCAGCTATGCAGTGTGTTGGATTTACCAGTGTGCCACCATTTGACCCCTTAAATTTTTAAAATATAGCAGTTCCTCCTCTGTGTATGATTTGTGGAACAAACTGGGTTATTGGTTTCTAGAATTTAGGAAGCTGTTAAAGTGTTCCTTTTTTTTTTCTTTTAAATAGATTTTTCCCTTAGGACACATGTGCTTGCCCGTTGAGACAGACAAGAGACCGAGAGGGAAAGTGAGAAATCACCCCCCAAGGGGGTGGTCACACCACAATCTCTTCTCCATTCTCCTCCTGAGATCTTGGGCATGCCTGTACATGTGTCTGGTGTGATTTTTGAGACACCAGATCTGGGACTCGAACCATAGCCATGTGGGAATCTAGTGATGTAACTGCTATACCATCTTCTGGTCCCAAAGTGTTCCATTTTTTAAAATGTAAATATTGCTGATTGGATGCCTAGTATGTAGAATGTCTTCAATATCTTTTTTTTGGGTGAGTAAATAAATCAGCTATTTCAAAGGTCAGGGTAATGACAAAGATCAGGCTTCTCCTTTCTGAAGATCCTTCCTATTAAGAATGTTGCTCTGGGGACCAGCAGTTAGTGTAATGGCTATGTTGCTGAACTCCTATGTAGTTGACCATGGTTCGAGTCCCAGACCTGGTGGCTTAACTCAGGCCGGGAGCGTGTGCGTGCGTGCCCAAGATCCCGAGAGGAGAATGGAGGAGAAGGGATTGCGGCGTGGCCATCTCCTTTGGGGGGTGATTTCTCACTTTCTGTCTCTCTGTCTCTGTCTTTTTGGCGAGCGCATGCGCCCTATAACAAAGACCTCTAAAAAAGGGGGAAAAAAAAAAAGAATGTTGCCCTGGTCATTGAAGTGCTTCTGCCATCTTTATGTGTACTTCCTGGAAATACCGATAATGGTACTCTCTCTGCTGGAGCCAGCAGGGTGCCCGTTTGGCCTTATTTAGAGTAAGTTGAGTGGACATTGTTCTTCCTCCTCCCGTGTTTTATTCCTCTGGCAGAACACCTTGGAAGGGCAGTGAGTGCGCAGTGCGGCCTGCCCTGGCTCAGGAGAGTTCAGTTTGGTGGGCCAAGGACAGGTAGTATTCCTGGCAGGTTTACACTCTGGTGAAATATTTGTTTGGGTGGTGGAAAAGGATAAATGAGAGGAGGAGCAAAAGTAGGGAGCAAACAGGATGAAATACATAGAGTATTTTATTATAGTCTTCAAAATTAAAAAAAAAAGTAGTTTTTTAATAGAGAAACACAAAATGTCTTCTATTCAACCTTTTATAAAAAGAATTATTTATTTTAATTATTTTTCAATTTTGGCAAGAGAGTGAGAGAGAGAACAAGTGAGCCACCAGGTCCAGGACTCAAACCGTTGTCAGCCATGTGGGAGTCCAGCACCTTTAACCACCATGCTACCCACTGGCCCCTCACCTTTTTTTTTTTTTAAATTTTTATTTATTATCATTATTATTATTTTTAATTCACCAGAGAGAGAGTCAGAGGGAGGGATGGAAAGTGAAAAAGCAAGCCACCAAGTACAGGACTTGAACCACTGTCGGCCATGGGGAGTCCGGCAACATAACCACTACACCATCTGCTGGCCCTCAACTTTATTTATAAAAAGATAAAGATATAAAAAGTCCAGGGGGCAGCAGGTAGCCTGGTGGTTAAGGCACTGGACTCAACTGACTGCAGTTTGTATCCCAGACCTGGTGGCTCGCTTTATCACTTCCCTCTCTTGATCTCTATCTCTCTCTGGTGAGTGTGAGTACCCTATAGCAAGTTAAAATAATAATAATAATAATAAAGGTATGTAAAAACCCTAGGGAAATAGACATCTTAGGGGAAAAAAAAATCTTTATCTAATTTTATTTATTATTATTCTTCAGTTTGACCACAGAGAAACAGAGAGGAAGAATGAGAAAGCAAGCTGCTAAGCCTTGGACTTGAACCGCAGTCGGCCACATGGGAGCACCTTAATCACTATGCTACCTGCTGGCCCCAGGAGAAATTTTTTTTTTTTTTTTAAAGAATTGTTTTATTCAACTTTGTTTATTTTAATTTTATCAGAGAGGGATAGAGTGGGTGAGGGAGAGAGAGAGAGAGAGAGAGTTGTTAAGTGAGAAAGCAAGCTGCCAGGTCTGGGACTTGAAAGACGGTTGGCCATGTTGAATTCCAGTGCCCTCAGCCACCATGCCACCTGCTGGCCCTGGAGAAAAATTTTTTAACCCAGAGCAGAAGATGGATCCTTGAAAAGAGTTCTTGGGAAAAGTCAGAAAATATTGCCTGTTTTTTTTTTTTTCTTTTCTATTGTAGGCATTCATTTTTCTTTCCGCTGGTCTTTTTTTTTTCCCCTTTGGAGAGGTTTTTGCTATAGGGTGCATGCACTCGCCAGAAAGAGAGAGACAGAGAGACAGAAAGTGAGAAATCACCCCCCAGGGGGGATGTCCACGCCACATTCCCTTCTCCTCCATTCTCCTCTTGGGATCTTGGGCATGCACACACACGTGACCGGCGTGAGTTTAACCCACCAGATCCAGGATTCGAACCGCAATTAACTACATGGGAGTCCAGCAACATAGCCATTACGCTAACTGCTGTTCTTTTTTTTTTCCTATTGTAGTCATTCATTTTTCTTTTTGCTGGTCATTTTATTGTCTTGATGGTTTCTGGTGTAGCGTAGGAGTTTTTAGTCCAGCTTCCGGCCTGGTGGTTAAGGTGGTTGGATCCCACATGGCTGAACATGTGGTGCAAGTCCTGGACTCAGCGGCTTGAGAATCATGCTGGGTGTGTGCGTGCCCTGAATCCTGACAGGAGGGGCCATTGCAATGGAGAAGGGATTGTGTGACCATGCTCCATGAGAGGTACTTTTTCACTTACTTTCTCTCTCTCTAGGGAGTACACATGCACTCTGGCAAAAATAAAAAAGAGAAAAAAGAATTATGAGTTAAAATTTTTTTTTTTTTTAAGGTTTTTGCCATAGAGTGCGTGTGCTTGCCAGGGAGAGAGAGACCATTGAGAAATCACGGCTCAGAGGGAAGGTTATACCATAATCCCTTCTCCATTCTTACCTCAGGATTTTGGGCATGCATGTACAAAGGAGGCATGATTTTTCTTTCTTTTTCTTTTTTGAGAGGTTTTTGCCATAGGGCGTGCACGCTCGCCAGAGAGACAGAGAGAGAGAGAGAGAGAGATAAAGTGAGAAATCACCCCCCCCAGGGGGGCTGGCCACGCTGCAATCCGTTCTCCTCCTGGGATCTTGGGCAGACCTGCACAAGTGCCCGGTGTGAGTTTAAGCCACCGGGTCCAGGACTGGAGTCCGGCGACATAGCCATTATGCTAACGGCTGATCCCAAGGAGGCATGATTTTTTAAATATTTTTTTTGAGAGAGATTTTTGCTGTAGGGTGCATGTACTTGGCAGACACAGAGACAGAGAGGAAAATTGAGAAATCACCCTCTGGGGGGAATGGCCACACTGCAGTCCCTTCTCTTCTAGTCTCCTCTTGGGATTTTGGGCACACGTGCACACATGCTCCGTGTGTTTCAGGCTGCCAAGTCTGGGACTCAAACTGTGGTCAGCCATGTGGGAATCCAGCCCCTTAACCACCACACCACCTGCCAACCCCAATCTTGGTGTGATTTTTAAGCTGTTGGGTCCAGGATTTGAATTGTGGTCAGCCATATGGGTGTTCAGTACCTTTACCACACCATGTGCTGGCTCCTGGAGTTTAAAAATTTTAATAGACACATTTCTTTTTCCTTGTTTCAGGCTTCACAATTGCAAATGTGTTATAGAATTTGTCAGGTAAAACTAGTCTTGTTACAGATTTATAAAAATTGACTCTGAATTCAAGTAATAAAGCTTGTGGGTTTTGCGGCTCCACTTTACAACTTTTAAAATTGTATTTGGGTTAAGTTGATCTGGAGGGAAGTCTGCCATGCTGCATTCAGTGACCTGGTGTGTATGACTTTTTCTTTGTTCATTCAGGGGCAGCTTATTGTCAGTTTATGGACATGTTGTTCCCTGGCTCCATTGCCTTGAAGAAAGTGAAATTCCAAGCAAAGCTAGAACACGAATACATCCAGAACTTCAAAATACTACAGGCAGGTTTTAAGAGGATGGGTGTTGACAAAGTAAGTACATTTCACTCTTTGATTTAGATTAATGTTTTTAACTATTGGTGTTACTAATGATACGGGTGCCAGCCCTTGACCTCAGATGCTTTTTTTCTTTCTTTCTTTTTCTTTGCCCAGTTTATATAGTTTTCCCCAGTTAACAGAGAATTTACTGGGAATAGAGTTTCCTCTACCTTCCTACCTCCTAATTTCCTTGTTGTCTTATTGTCTATGAAGTTTGTAACTGTTGGGAGGCATCCTGTAAACCTGTATGGTGATTTCTTTTTCAAGAAAGTATTACTGTTTAAACTCTGTCCTCTGAGAGCCAGCCCTGTTGCTTACTGGTTAAGGGAACTGGATCCCACATGACTGACTGTGGTTTGAATCCTGGCCCTAGTGGCTTGGAAAACATGCTGAGCACATGTGTGTGCATGCCTGGAATAAGACAGGATGGAGAAATGAAGGAGAAAGGATCGTGGTATGACTATACTCCCTTGGGAGGAGGGGTACTTTCTCCATCTCCTTTCTCTCTGTGTCTCAGGAGTGCGTGTGCCCTCTGGCAAAAGGGCCCTCTGAAAAAAAAAAAAAAAAAGAAAAAAAAAGTCTCTATTGGAGCCAGCAGGTGGTGTGATGGTTGAGGTGGCTGGATTCCCACATGGCTGACCGTGGTTTGAGTCCTGGACCTGGCAGCTTGCTTTCTCACTTTCCTTCTCTGTCTCTCTCTGGTCAACTTCAAAAAAATAAAAAAAATAATGGTAATGAATAAAATTAAATAATTCTTTTTTTAAAAAAAAGTCTCTGTGATCTAATTCTCTTAGTCTCTGGGTTTTCATCTGTAAAGCACACCTTATAGACCCCTCCCTTTTAAAAATGTAATTGCCAGAAGGCATGCATGCTTGCCAGAGAGAGAGAGAGAGAAGAGAGAGGAAGAGGGAGAGAGAGGGGAAGAGGGAGAGTGTGTGCCCTTTAGTGGACCACGGTCACATCACACTCCCTTCTCCATTTCTCCATCCTGTCAGGATTTAAGGTATCCTTGATTTGTACCTGGCGTGTTTTTTAAGCTGCCAGGGTTAAGGATTCAAACCGTGGTCACCCTTGTGGGATCCAGCTTCATTAACCTCTAGGCTAGAAGGCTGGCCCAGAAACTCTTGCCGGTTTTTTTTTTTTTTTTAGTACAAGGAAAGCACTATATTGGTTTAAACAAAGATTTTTTTTTTTTAATTTAACTTTATGTATTTATTTTCATTTGACCAGAGAGGGACAGAGTGTAAGGGGGTGGGGAGTGAGGAAGCAAGCTGCCAGGTCCGGGACTTGAACCACGGTCAGCCATGTGGGAGTCCGGTGCCCCTAACCATGTGCCAGCCGAGCACTTGCTTTTTATACCAGGATATAAGGAGAATCCCTAGTGTGTGCGGGGAAGTTCCTTCCTCCCTCAGAGTTTATTGGAAAGTACCACTAGGCTTCATGAGCACATGTACTATGCCTGTTTTCTTTTTTTAAGAGAGACTTCTTTGCTATAGGGTGCATGTGCTTGCTGGAGAGACAAGAGACAGAAAGTGAGAACCCCCACATAGGGTGGCTATGCTGCAGTTCCTTCTCCATTTTCCTCTTGGGATCTTGGGCATGCACATGTGCTCAGCGTTAAGTTTTAAGCCACCAGGTCTAGGATGCAAATCATGATAGATTACTGGGATTCCAGTGATGTAAGCATTACGCCATCTGCTGGCCCCAGGTTATTGTGAAATTAAGCATATTTCTCCCCCTAATTAAAAGGGTTTATCCTTTTTTTAAAAAATTATTTTATTCAACTTTATTTAATTTTTTCAATTTGATGAGAGAGAGCGAGTGCTAGCAGGCAAGTGAGAAAGCAAGCTGCCAGGTCTGGGACTCGAACTATGTTTGTCCATGTGGGAGACCAGTGCCCTTAACCACTGCACCACCTGCCAGCCCTCTGGGCTTATCCTTTTTTTTTTCCGAGAGATTTTTGCTATAGGACGTGTGCGTTTGCCAGAGACACACAGAGAGAGAGACAGACAGAAAGTGAGAAGTCACCCCCCCCAGAGGGGATGACTGCTCCACAATCCCTTCTCCATTCTCCTCTTGGGATTTAGTACACACATGTATGTGCATGCACACGTGCCTGACATGAGTTTTAAGCCACTGGGTCTGGGACTTGAACTGGGATCAACTACATGGGAGTCTAGTGAGGTAACCATTATGCCATCCACTGGTCTCGGGCTTATCCTTTATTTATTTATTTATTTTTTGTTTTGTTTTGTTTGAGAGGTGTATGCTATAGGGCATGTGCGCTCGCCAGAAAGACTCGAACTGTGGTCAACTACGTGGGAGTCCAGTGACATAGACATTACGCTAATTGCTGGTCTCGGGTTTATCCTTTTAAGCCATTTTTTTTGGTAAAGCTCAAAATACCTGTAATTATCTTTTTGGTGTGTCTTTTTTTTTTTTTTTTAAGAACTATTTATTTAATTTTATTTGTTTATTCATTTTATTTTAAATTGACTAGAGAGAGACACACAGAGAGAGAGAGGGAAAGTGAGAAAGCAAAGCCACCACGTCCAGAACTTGAACTGTGGTTAGCCACGTGGGAGTATTTAGTATTTTACCACCATGCTACCTGCTGGCTCCGTGGTGTCTGGTATTTTATTTTGATTAGTTGTTGTCTTACTATTATTTATTTATTTATTTTTTTGGGGGGAGAGGTTTTTGCTATAGAGTATGTGCACTCACCAGAAAGGCAGACAGAAAGGGAGAAATCACCCCCAGGATGGATGGCCACGCTGCAGTCCCTTTTCCTCCATTCTCCTCTCGGGATCTTGGACACACACGCACACGCACCTGGTGTGAGTTTAAGCCACCGGGTCCGAAACTCAAACCATGGTCGACTACATGTGAGTCCAGTGACATAGCCATAATGCCATCAGCTGGTCCCTATCTTATTATTACTTACTTTTTTTTTTAAAAGGAATTATTTTATTTAAATTTATTTATTTTAATTTGACCAGAGAGGGACAGAGTGAAGGGGAGGGGAGTGAGAAAGCTAGCTGCCAGGTATGGGTCTTGAACCACAGTCATCTATGTGGGAGTCCAGCTCCCTTATCCACCATGTCACCTGCCGGCCCCATTATTATTTTTTTAAAAAAGAGATTTTTGGTATAATGTGCATGTGCTCACCAAAAAGAGAGAGAAAGTGAGAGATCATCCCCCAGGGATGATGGCCACATGGCAATCCCTTCTCCTCTTGGGATTTAGTGTACATGCCCTGAGTGAGTTTCAAACCACCAGGTCCAGGACCTAAATTGTGGTCAGCCATATGAGAGTCCAGCACCTTAACCACTGAGATCAGTGTTATTTTAGTTTTGTCTCTGTGCAACATATAAAGTTAAGCATTTGTGTTATCAGAATATTTACTTTTCAAGTATATTTTAATAGGTATAGCTTATTTATAGTAATCCTTTAGTTTTGGTATTTTTGAGTATAGAAAATGTCTCATGTATAGCCAGCAGGTGGCATGATGGTTAAGGTCACTGGACTCCTACTTGGCTAAATGTGGTTTATGTCCCAGACCTGGTGGTTTGCTTTCTCACTTTCTCTTTCTCTCTCTGTCCCACTGTGGTCAAATTTAAATAAATAAAGTTAAAAGTAATTTTTTTTTAGAATTACTATTTTTTTTTTTTTACTGTTGTATATCATTGGTAAATGTCATAGATCAGAAATTCATAATGTAGATCCTATTTTCTCAGTAAGATACATTGGTAGTTTTTTTTTTTTTTTTTTTTTTTTTTTTATTTTGACTAGAGATGACAGTGAGTGAGTGAGAGAAAGTGAGAAAGCAAGCCACTAGGTCTGGGACTTGAGCCGCAGTCAGCCATGTGGGAGTCCAGCACCCTTAACCACCATGCCACCTGCTGGCCTCAAGAATTATTTGTTTAACTTTATTTGTTTTATTTATTTATTTTGTTTTAATTTGACCAGAGAGGGAGGGGGAGAGAGAGAGAGAGAGAAAGAAAGAAAGTAAGCCACCAGGTCTGGGACTCGAACCTTCGTTGTCCATGTGGGAATTCATCACCCTTAACCTCTGTGCCACCTGCCGACCCCAAAAGTAATTCTTAAAAAAGAAAGAAAGAAAGAAAATGGCTCATGTACGCATAGGTTGAGAGAATAGCATAATCCCCCATGTACCTCAATGGTATCATAGCTATCTATCTATCTATCTATCTATCTATCTATCTATCTATCTATTTATTTATTTATTTTGCCTGAGGGATGGGGGTTGAGGATAATGGGAGAAAGCACCCCCTGATGGTGTGTGATCTTGCAACAATCCCTTCTCCATTTCTCCTCCTCAGCAGAGTTTGGGGTATTCACACACATGTGCCTCACAGGTTTTCCAAGCTGACAGAACTAGGATTTGAACCATGTGGTTGGCCTTGCAGCATCCTGCTCCCTTAACCACTAGGTCACAGGGTTGGTCCTGGTCAATTTTTTTTTTTTTAATTTTTTTTTTTAAACTTTTTTTTTTGGAGAGGTTTTTTGCTATAGGGCGCGTGCGCTCGCCAGACAGACAGAGAGAGATAGAGAGACAGAAAGCGAGAAATCACCCCCCAGGGGGTATGGTCACGCCGTAATCCCTTCTCCTCCATTCTCTTCTTGGGATCTTGGGCACACATGCACACGCACCTGGCATGAGTTTTAAGCCACCGGGTCCGGGACGCGAACCGCGGTCGACTACGTGGGAGTCCAGCAACATAGCCATTACACTAACTGCTGGTTCCCAGCCAATTTTCTTTTAACTATACCTCTACCCATCCTACATATTTGTGGATTGTTTGGCAGTGAGTTCAATTATAATATTTTATTTGTAAATATTTGAATATAATATAAGGTAATTTTTACAACATTTTATTTATTTGCCAGAAGAGTGGATATTTTTTAGATTATTATGTATATTCTTTTTTCCTTTTTAAAAAGTTTATAATTGAGCACGTACTTGGTTGAGAGAGAGAGAGGGACGGAGGGAGAGAGATGTACACCCTTTACCAGGGTCTGATCATTCTGTGAGAGCCTTCCTGTAGTCCTCCAGTTGGACCTCAGGAGAGAGCATGCCTGTTACGTTTCCAGCTGACTGGGCTGGGGATTTGAGCTGTGGTTGCCACATGAGATCCAGCTTTTGTGCAGCACATTACTGCTGTGCCACAGGGCCGGCCCTTTTCTTTCTGTTTGTCTTGTCTCTTTTTTTTTTAGGTTAGTTGTGCACATGCTTGCCAGAGTGACAGAAAGGGAGAGAAGGCACTGCGCACTGGGCATGGTTGTGCTGCATTTGCTTCTCTTTTATCTCTTCTGTCCTTTTGAGATTTGGGGTATGCATGCACATATGTCTGGTGTGTTTCTCAAGCCACCTATCTGAGACTTTCTAGATAAAATAAATTTTGGTTTTTTTTTTTTTTTTTTTTTTTTTTTTTTTTTAATTTGACTAGAGAGGACAGAGTGAGTGAGTGAGAGAAAGTGAGAAAGCAAGCCACTAGGTCTGGGACTTGAGCCGCAGTCAGCCATGTGGGAGTCCAGCACCCTTAACCACCATGCCACCTGCTGGCCTCAAGAATTATTTGTTTAACTTTATTTGTTTTATTTATTTATTTTGTTTTAATTTGACCAGAGAGGGAGGGGGAGAGAGAGAGAGAGAGAAAGAAAGAAAGTAAGCCACCAGGTCTGGGACTCGAACCTTCGTTGTCCATGTGGGAATTCATCACCCTTAACCTCTGTGCCACCTGCCGACCCCAAAAGTAATTCTTAAAAAAGAAAGAAAGAAAGAAAATGGCTCATGTACGCATAGGTTGAGAGAATAGCATAATCCCCCATGTACCTCAATGGTATCATAGCTATCTATCTATCTATCTATCTATCTATCTATCTATCTATCTATCTATCTATCTATCTATCTATCTATCTATTTATTTATTTATTTTGCCTGAGGGATGGGGGTTGAGGATAATGGGAGAAAGCACCCCCTGATGGTGTGTGATCTTGCAACAATCCCTTCTCCATTTCTCCTCCTCAGCAGAGTTTGGGGTATTCACACACATGTGCCTCACAGGTTTTCCAAGCTGACAGAACTAGGATTTGAACCATGTGGTTGGCCTTGCAGCATCCTGCTCCCTTAACCACTAGGTCACAGGGTTGGTCCTGGTCAATTTTTTTTTTTTTAATTTTTTTTTTTAAACTTTTTTTTTTGGAGAGGTTTTTTGCTATAGGGCGCGTGCGCTCGCCAGACAGACAGAGAGAGATAGAGAGACAGAAAGCGAGAAATCACCCCCCAGGGGGTATGGTCACGCCGTAATCCCTTCTCCTCCATTCTCTTCTTGGGATCTTGGGCACACATGCACACGCACCTGGCATGAGTTTTAAGCCACCGGGTCCGGGACGCGAACCGCGGTCGACTACGTGGGAGTCCAGCAACATAGCCATTACACTAACTGCTGGTTCCCAGCCAATTTTCTTTTAACTATACCTCTACCCATCCTACATATTTGTGGATTGTTTGGCAGTGAGTTCAATTATAATATTTTATTTGTAAATATTTGAATATAATATAAGGTAATTTTTACAACATTTTATTTATTTGCCAGAAGAGTGGATATTTTTTAGATTATTATGTATATTCTTTTTTCCTTTTTAAAAAGTTTATAATTGAGCACGTACTTGGTTGAGAGAGAGAGAGGGACGGAGGGAGAGAGATGTACACCCTTTACCAGGGTCTGATCATTCTGTGAGAGCCTTCCTGTAGTCCTCCAGTTGGACCTCAGGAGAGAGCATGCCTGTTACGTTTCCAGCTGACTGGGCTGGGGATTTGAGCTGTGGTTGCCACATGAGATCCAGCTTTTGTGCAGCACATTACTGCTGTGCCACAGGGCCGGCCCTTTTCTTTCTGTTTGTCTTGTCTCTTTTTTTTTTAGGTTAGTTGTGCACATGCTTGCCAGAGTGACAGAAAGGGAGAGAAGGCACTGCGCACTGGGCATGGTTGTGCTGCATTTGCTTCTCTTTTATCTCTTCTGTCCTTTTGAGATTTGGGGTATGCATGCACATATGTCTGGTGTGTTTCTCAAGCCACCTATCTGAGACTCGAACCATGTGGTCAGCTGTGCAGGATCTGACTTTCATATCAGACCATTGAGCCAACCCAGGCCCAACTTCTGTTTTTTCCCTCGAACTTTTGCTATGGGGCATGTGTGCTAGCTAGAGACTGAGAGAGAAAGTGAGAAAGGATCTCCAGTGAGGGTGGCCACGTCACAGTCCACTCTCCACCATCTTTTTTTTTTTTCCTTCTTTTTTTTGGGGGGGAGAGGTTTTTGCTATAGGGTGCATGTGCTCGCCAGACAGACACAGACAGACAGAGAAAGCGAGAAATCACCCCCCAGGGGGGATGGCTATGCCGCAATCCCTTCTCCATTCTCCTCTCGGGATCTTGGGAACACACACACACATGTGCCCGGCGTGAGTTTAAGCCACCAGGTCCGGGACGTGAACCATGGTCGACTACGTGGGAGCCCAGCGACATAGCCATTATGCTAACTGCTGGTCCTGCACTCTCCACTATCTTCTCTGGGGACTTGGGGCATTCATGCATACACACCCAGCATGTCTCCCAAGCCACCAGATATGGGATTTGAACTATGTAGTTGGACATGTAGGATCCAGCTGCCTAAGCACTATGTCACTGCTGGGGCCCCCTCCCCCACTCTTATGTATGTATGTTTTTGCCATAGGGCATATGCACTTGCCAGAGAGAGAGTGAGGCAGAGAGTGAGAAATCACCCCTGAGGGGGTGACCACACTATAGTTCCTTTTCCATTCTCTAAGAAGAGAAGAATTCCTGGCAGTGGATCCAGGACTTGAACTGTGGTTGGTCATGTGGGAGTTCAGTGCCTTAACCACCATGCCACCTGTTAGCCTCCTCCTGTTTTCTTTCTTTTAATAGGGTTGCTTCTGGAATCTTTGGAGATTAAAAGGTAGTTAAGCTGTAGCCAGCATGTCAATAATTTGGAATCATCCCTGATAACTCTGTTTTTGTACAATAAGAAAAACTTGCAGGGTTCTTAAATATGTTTTTGATAGAATTGGAATTTCTTGGTAAATATGCTATTTTGTAGAAATCTATTGTGAGGCTGATTCTGCACCTTGACCTATTTTTAAGTTAGAATTTTTTTTTTTTTGGAGAGGTTTTTGCTATAGGGCGCGTGCGCTGACCAGACAGAGAGAGACAGAGAGACAGAAAGCGAGAAATCACCCCCCAGAGGGGATGACCACACCGCAATCCCTTTTCCTCCATTCTCCTCTTGGGATCTTGGGCATGTATGCACACGCGCCCGGCGTGAATTTTAAGCCACCGGGTCCGGGACGCGAACCACGGTTGACTATATGGGAGTCCAGCGACATAACCATTATGCTAACTGCTGGTCCCAGAATTTTTTTTTTAAATAGTTCATTGTGGATACTTTTGGTGGGTTTGTTTTATGGATTTTATACTTTGTGAAAGGCACTATGGCCATGCAAGTTGGAGGAATTTAATTTTTTTTTTTTTTTTTTTTTTTTTTTTTTTTTATTCTTTATAGAGTGCATGCATGCACAAGAGAGTGGGAGAGAAAGGGGTGGAGGAAGAGAGGGAAAGGAGCATCTTTCACAAAGTCTGGTTGTACCACAGTCTCCCTCCTCTAGCCTCTCAGATCTTGGGCACTTCACATGCTTGGCCTATTTCTGGCTCAGTGGGCCGGTGGTTCGAACCACAGTTTCCAGGTGGTATCTAGCTTCTCTTGGGCAGCACAGTATTTATCCTATTTAAACCATGGAGCCAGCCCATAGATTTGTGCTTCCTAGTGGAATGACAGGTGTATCACATCTTTGGATGTGTTTCAGTGTGTATGTGATTATGTGGTGCTTACTTGGTTTTTGTTTGATTCTTTTTCATAAATTTGTAGAATTGGGAAGAGATTGGGAGGTGTTGTTATTCATTTGAAGGCAAACTGAATGAAACCTGCCCTGTAAACTTACAGGGGTTTAGTACTCAGTTCCCTAAATGTTTTTCTTCTGGCAGAGCGTTCTGCTGATTTGATGAATGGACAAGTTTGGTGCTTGCCCAAGACGTCTCTTGTTTTGAGCTTTAATAGGCTTGGTTTTTCTCTGCAGATAATTCCTGTGGACAAATTAGTAAAAGGAAAGTTTCAGGACAATTTTGAATTTGTTCAGTGGTTCAAGAAGTTTTTTGATGCAAACTATGATGGAAAAGACTATGACCCTGTAGCTGCCAGACAAGGTCAAGAGACTGCAGTGGCTCCCTCTCTTGTTGCTCCAGCTCTGAATAAACCGAAGAAACCTCTCAGCTCTAGCAGTGCAGGTAAAAAAACAAATAAACAAAACAGTCCAAAACATGTCCAAAAAATGGTATTCCAGGTAGTCATTCATATAATGTTTAATGCGCATTTTTTGAGTAGCCATAGGCTTAGGGTCTTAAGTGTAATCCCAAGCACGTGACAAGAGTATGGATTCTTTCTTTCTTTTTAGTATTTATTTATTTAATTCCATTTGTTATTATTATCTTTAAAATTTGACCAGAGAGAGAAAGGGTAAGTGAGAAAGCAAGCCCCCAGGTCCATACTCGAACCAGTCAACCATATGGGAATCCAGTGCCTTTACCTACCATGCCACCTGCCAGCCCATAAGAGTATGGCTTCTGGCATCAGGCAGATCTGTGTCTCTTAGGTCTCTGCATTGCTGTGTAAGCCAGTTCACACCTGCCACAATTTCCTTCTTTATATAATGAAAATTGTAATACTTGCTCCAGAGTGTTGTTTTTGAGGCCTGAATGAATAATTATATGTAGTCCTGCCACAGCTCTTTCAGTCAAGTGGATTAGAAACTCCTCGGGTAGCTCACATAAAAGAGAGCTGTAGTTAATGGGAAAACCAAGCACATTTCACAGAACCGTAGGATGGGAAGTTTAAACCAGAGCTCAGCTCTCAGAGCCTGAAGGAGCCTTCTAGATTGCTCATTGTGACTGTCTGCATTCTCATTCTGCCTCCAGACGAGCTCCCTGTGCTTACTCTTGGCTACCCTGCTGCCCATTTCCTAGGCCTGCTGCCCATTAGTGGCTTTGGCGTGTTACGATGCTAGTAGTCCGGGATACAGGGGCAGGCTCTTTTCAGAGACCATCTCAAAAAGTCTTGGCTTAATAGGTTTCCCAAGATGTGTTTGCGATAGCATACTCATAGAACATGTATAGGGCAAGATAAATATTCTACTGGTTAGAACAGGGCAGATTTTCTACAGATCCTAAGTCTACCTTTTCCAAAAGATAGCAAGAACATTAGTTAAGGTTGTACCACGAGAGATGTTGATTGTCTAGTAGTAGAGAGGGTCGGTTGAGTACTTTTTTTTTTTTTAAGGAATTATTTTATTTGACTTTTATGTTTATTTAACTATGACCAGAGAGGGACAGAAGGAGAGAGGGGGCGGGGGAGGGAAGGCGAGAAAGTAAGCCACCAGGTCCAGGACTTGAACCATGGTCAGCCATGTGGGAGTCCAGTGGCCCCAACAACCATGCCACCTGCTAGCCCCCAGTTGAGTACTTTTAAACAGCTTTATTGAGATATAATTCATATGCCATACATTTCACCCATTTAAAGTATGTAGTTCATTGAGTATATTCAAAGAGTGTGCCATCTTTTTATAGCAAAAGAATTTTTAATTTTATTAATTCATTTAAAAATAATTATTTAATTTTATTTATCGTTATCATTATTCTTTGATTTGCTACAGGACACGTGTACGCAACAGAGAGAGACAGAAACAGAGAGAGAGAGAGGAAGGGAGGGAAAGTGAGAAAGCAAGTAAGTCGCCAGGTCTAGAACTTGAACCGCTATCAGCCATGTGGAAGTCCGACACCTTAACCACCACACCACCTGCTGGCCCCACAGTGTGAGTTTTAAGCCGCTGGGTCTGGGATTCGAACCACAGCCATCTATGTGGGAGTCCAGCGACATAACCATCCACTGGTCCCTCATTCATTAATTTGACCAGAGAGAGACAGAGAGAGAGAGGGGTAGGGGGAAAGTGAGAAGGCAAGCCACCAGGTCCGACACTTGAACTATGGTCGGCTATGTGGGAGTGTCCAGCACCTTATCCACCATGCCACCTGCTGGTCCCTAAAGACTGTGCAGTCTTTAACACAATTTTAGAACATTTTCATCACCCCAAAAAGAAACCTTGTACATGCTTAGTAGCAGTCACTTCCCATTTACTCCCGTTTTTCCCCCTTCCTCTCAGCCTTAGGCAATCACTGATCTATTTTCTGTCTCTAAGAATTTGCCTGTTCTGGGCATTTCATATAAATAGAATCATAGTGTGATTCTATCATCATGTGTCTGGTTTCTTTCACTTAGCATAATGTTTATAAGGTTCATCCATGTAGCATGTATCAGTACTTAAATCGTTTTTATTGCAGAATAATAATTCATTGTGTGACTACCTCATTTTATTTGCCCATCATTTGATGGTCATTTGTGTTGTTTCCACTTTTGGCTGTGGTGAATAATGCTGCCGTGAAGAGTCATGTTCAGTTTTTGCACGGACACGTTTCATTTCTCTTGGGAATATATATTCTTGGAGCAGAATTGCTGAAGCATATGGTAACTCTGTGTTTAACCTTTTGCAGAGCTTCCTGTTTTCCAAAGTGGATGAACCCATTTACATTCCCATCAGAAGCGTATGAGGGTTCCAATTTCTTCAGATACTGAGTACTTTTATTTTTAGCCATTTGGAATGAGGAACTGCATAGATAACCCTGTACATTTCATATTTCAGATGCTGCTGACAGTTGGTGGAGACTTGCATTAAGCATTTAGTCTTTAGGGCAGACCTGAGTTTTTTTTTTTCTTTTTTTAAAGAGATTTATCTATAGGGTGCGTATACTTGCTATAGAGAGAGAGGCAGAGGCAGTGAGAGGGAAAGTGAGAAACCACCCTTCAGGAGGGTTGGCCATGCCACAATCTCTTCTCCTCTGCTGTCCTCCTGGGATCTTAGACATGCATGCACACACACCCAGCATGATTTTCAAGCTACGGGGTCTGGGATTCGAACCTCATTTGGCCATGTGAGATCCAGTGATGTAACCACTATACCATCTCCTGGCCCCCCATGGTAGACCTGTCATAGAGAGCCATCCCGAGGAAATGCCTATGCCTGTGGATGAAGGACTTTAGCTTGTCAGGAAGAGCAGATGTTTCTAAGCCTGGCGTAATGTACAAGTTTGTAGGGCATGTGCATTCACCACAGAGAACTAGAGAGAGGGGAAGTGAGAAATCACTCCCCCTAGGGGATTGGCCACACCGCAATCCCTTCTTCATTCTCCTCTCAGGATTTTGGGCACACACACACACACACACACATATCTGGTGTGATTTTTCAAGCCACCGAGTCTGGGACTCAGACTGGAGTCAGCCATATGGTAGACCAGGGCCTTAATGACTACCTCACCTGCTGGTCCCAGTATATAAGTGTTATCAAATAAATGCTAAATGAATCAGCGAAGACATGAATGATGCATCTATCTTGAGCTCATTTTTGATTATTTTAACTTGTAGATAAGTTGGGCCTCCTTTGCTACTTTTTCCTTGCCTTTGTCTCCTTTTGGTAGATAGCTGAGAAAAGGCAATAAATCCTAGTTTGTCTGATGCTTTTCTCTCTTGACCTAAACACCTAAATACCTCCTAAAAAGTGAGCCAAGATCCTGAATTTGAAGTAATTAGTGGTAAGAGCAGGATCTCCCACCGCTATGAATTCCTTCTAATGCAAGGCGTCTGAGGAGATGAGTTAGGAGGATTTAACTTGCTAGACGGGGAAGCCTGGGCTTCCTGTGAGCTCCCTCCTAGCGTGAAGCTTGTCTTCACTCCTGAAGCTGCCATTGTGGATTTGGCTGGAGCTGGGTTCAGGTAGATCATCTGTGTGCACCAGACCGACTACTTCTTTCAGATGATAGTCCTATTTACTGCAGCGGAGAAAAGACCTTACTGAAGGACTTACTCCCAACACGAAGGAGCATGGCTAAAATTGGTACTTAACTCTGTTGCTTGGATAAAACGCACTTTAGGCAAACGGGGTGTTGTCTTGCATGCTGGGGTCTCTAGCATTGGTCCCCTTCACCTAGCACCTGTGGAAGGCAGTTGGTCACAGTCTCCCCTTGTTGTGTTATGGATTTTTTGTTTGTTTTAGGTATTTCATGACTTAAAAACCCTTTGTTCCTCTTTTAGCCCCACAGAGGCCCATTTCAACACAGAGAACTACTGCAACTCCTAAGGCTGGCCCAGGGGTGGTGCGAAAAAATCCTGGTGTGGGCAACGGGGATGATGAAGCAGCCGAATTGATGCAGCAGGTAGGACTGCTCGTGTTGAGGACAAGAGCCAGTAGGGGCAGGACACTTGCTGCAGTGTCCAGAGAAGGCTGTGTTCATAGAGAAGACCTGCCAGAGCAGCCCTTGTGACGTGTGAGGGAGCATGGGGTGCAGGTGGGAATGAAAGGGAAGGGATCAGGCACTGCCAGACTCTCCTGGAGTGATAGAAACCTGTGGCTTTTTGGAAGCCAGCTCTTAGAACCTTGTTGAATGTTTCTGGAAGGCTCTCAGAATTCTGTGAGATTCTAAGTGTGTCTTAAATTTTGGTTCTGACACAAGATAAAAAGGATTCCTTTCTGAATAGTAAATTTTAAAAGTAAAGTTTATTTCCTTTATGAGTGAGAGAGCAAGATAGCATCCCCAGCATTGTCCCCAGCTTCAGCCAGTCTGGGTCATAGGCACACATGTGCCCAGTGCCCTCGGGAGGTTTCTGGATACAAACCTAGAACGTTCCCCTGTGGTTCAGCCTTGACGGCGTTGTGCCCTACTGCACCACTGTCTGACTCTCTCGAGTAATTTTTTACAAGAAGACTCCACTGTCTCTGCTGATTCCTGGGGTCACTGAAGATTAGAGGTTAGAGTCATACTGGTAAGCAAGCCTGTTGCTCTCCTGGTTTTTCTTCATAGTTCAGTGATTGGTAGTGTCTTCTCCAGGATAAGTTTATTCTTGAAGTATGTGTTGATGTCTGTGGATCAGAACAAATTTTAGACTTTCAGACATTTCTTTCTAGGCCATGTTGCTGTTTTGTTTGCTTTTGAATTATTCTTTTAATTAATTTCATTTAAAAATCCAGGATGCTCTTGATTCCAGTTAGTTTAGGAATGAATCCAAATTTTACTTTACTTTTTTTTTTAAGAATTATTTTATTTAATTTTATTCATTTATTTATTCGTTTTAATTTGACCAGAAAGGGACTGAATGAGAGAGGAAGAGGGAGGGAAAGCGAGAAAGCAAGCTGCCAGGTCCGGAACTCAAACTGTGGTCAGCCATGTGGGAGTCCAGTGCTCTTAACCACAATGCCACCTGCTGGCCCCAAAATTTTACTTTCCTAAAAATCAAGTTCTAATGGAAGAGAAATTACCTCACTTTAGTGTAGAATCCTTCATGACCCAGACCCATACCCCCAGGGGTTCAGCACATGAGAACCTGCCCAAAGATCTCTTTTTAAAAAATTTTATTTATTTTTATTCATTGATTTTAATTTGACCAGAGAGGGACAGAGTGAGTGAGTGAGTGAGTGAGTGAGAGCGCGAGAGAGAGAGCGTGCACGGGG